AACTAATCATTTAGTTGTTAAGTAATATTAAATTAGTTCTAACTTGTCTTTTAAATTATACATATATTATTATATGCGTAGCATTTAACGTACAGTTGATGAACGAAGTACAACAAAATGGCTGCCACTTTACTACAAATGGCACTACTTTGCAAGCGAACCAGAAACTTTTAAATAAACCCTGCTATTATCGACTATTAACAATTATTAATACTCTCTATCTCATATTTTCTCTCATAACAATATAAATATTCTAAGTTTTCTAATAAAACATAACCTTTAAAATAAAATATATCAAAACACATCATAATTCGTAAAACTACTTCAACACTATTAAACTTCTTGCTGCACGCGCGGAAACTTGCAACATTTTCATAAATTTCGCCGTTATTATATCTGAAAATTGCGGGTCGAAACGGCGTAAAAGTGGAGCATCTGAAATAATAGCATGACGCTTCGCATAAAGGTAAAGAAGCGATGGAACGTGAAATGGAATTGAGACAGTTAAGCCTGCCAATAAATTTTCTGTCACGGAAAAAAGGAACGAAGGGCTGAATAAAACCGATAGCTGGATAACTTTTAGGTTAATTAAGCGATCGTTCGACTCGCGGTCGTCCATGCACGACCCTTATGCTCCAACAATGCTGTGAATTTTCAAAGAAGAACCCAAGCTAAAGAAATCGCAAGAAATCCTTTGCCTGTCTTCCAGCAAGGATTTCCACTCTATTTTCTCCTGAGTCGTTCGATCCTTTGGTAATCCTGCTTGTTTGCGTTGTTCGAACGAGAATCTGTCCCCGACCACAAACTTTCAAACGTTGAATAAATTTTTCTAGATAAGTTCGACGATCGATTCGAGCTTACACCGTTGTTTCAAAGTCTTGCGACATTCCTCGATAACGGATTGCTTCTCTCATTAGGAAAAGGTGCTGCACAGTTATTTGTACAGAAGTTTGAGACTTGAATCGATGTTGAAGTAGTTTCTAGTATTGCTTGTAAAGGGTTTAATACGTCGGTGTACAGTTTTGTTAGCTTTTGCGTTTTGTGGAGATTGAAGGATGTGGAAGGATTTTGAGATTTTTGAAGTTTGGGACTTTGAGATTTTGGGGTCTTTAGGATGTTGGGTATATGGAACTTTGGGGATTTTATGATTTCAATGTAGTTTAATAGAGTTTAAATTTTAGGGGTTTTAGAGTTTTAGAGTTTCGCAAATGTGGGATCTTGAAATTTTGGAATTATGGAAATATGGAACCTTGAAATTTTGAGATTTCAGAATTTTAGGACTTCGAGATTTTGGAATTATGGAAATATAGATCTTTGGGGTTTTCAGATTTTAGAATTTTGAGATTCTACAATTATAAAATCTTGGAAATATGGAATTTGGAGATTTTAGAACTTTTTGGGATTTTATGACTTTAGAAGTTTGATTTTTTGAACTTTGAAATTTGAAAACATTAGTGATTAAGGACTTTCAAATTTTGAAACTGTAAAGCTACAGGAATCAAGGACTGTAGAATTTTTAGAATTTTGAAACGCTGGAACTATAAGAACTAGGTACTCTGGAATTTCGAAACTTTGAAAGTACCGGGATTATGGTCTTTAAAATTCTGCAATCGTGGAACTTCGAAACTTCGAGACTTTAAACTTCTGAGACTTCAGTTCAATAAATAATGCAGTGCGATTGAATGAGTTATAAAAAGATACTGTTCTTGAAAATAGTTACCGAATTATCAAAATTTGATCTTTGCCATACCTGTTATTTTACAATATTTTTTCTTCCCGAAACTCTTTAACTTTTTATTAAAAAAAAAATACAAAGAAAACAAGTCTTGTTATAAAGGTCTAATCAATGAATATTTGTTAAAACAACTTAAAACTTTAAAGTTTTGTATTAATATATTTGTATTAATATAGAACAAAGGACAAAACTAAAACATAAACTGAAAATATAAAAATCAATGGACAATAAATTATTAAAAGGACTATTTTTGTTTTCTATATTTTATCTCTACAAATTTATTAATAATATTATGACAAAGCGTTTGTAAAATACGTATTATAATTTATTAAGAAACTTAAATATATTAACAATATTAAACTTATTAACAATATTATAACAAAGTGTTTTTAAAATAAAGTAATGAAATCCTCCCCTATGTGCCCCAGCCATTTTGTCTAGGCAAAAAACGCGGGAAAATTTAAAAGTCTGAAATGTTCATATAAAATTTTATGCAGTACACTTTGATTTAGGGAAGTGTTTCAACGTTTTCACCTAAAGATTTAAAAAACTATTTAACTTTATATCATCATATGTGTGTTTTGTCTTAGACAAAAAAGTGGGACAATTCAAAAGTCTGAAATCTTTCTACAAAGTTTAATGCTGTAAGTACATTTTGGTTTACAAAAGTCTTCTAACGTTTTCATTTGGAGATTTAAAAATTCTTTAACTTTGCATTATATATCGCCATTTTGTCTAGGATTAAAAGCGCGAAAATTCAAAACTCTTTGAATTCTAGTTTCAAGGTATAAACATTATTTAACTTTATATTCATTTAGACAAATAGAAAGTCTATATAAGAATAGTATAACTATTTCAAGAAATCACACAGACCGAGTAATTTTTCTGATTACAAAACATTTTACAATATCTACGCTTCATAACACCTAAAGAAAATAGAACATTCTAAGGCAAGCGAAAACAACGTCGAACGAGAACTTCAAAGGGCGTTAATGAAAAGAAATTCGTGTTCCAGATGCTTTCGTGGTCCGTCTTTCGTGTTCTAATCTTCGTGTGCGGCAATTAGGTTAATTGGGAAAGCGTAGAACAACAACGTTTCGTTGTGTAACTGCAACATTTTCAACGACACTCTCTTTAACACATTCTGTGCCACGAGGAACTAAATTGTAATGCTTAATTATAAAGAATTGCGATTATATTGAGTCCTCTGAAAAGTTTTCAATGTTTCTATGTCGACTTTTTTCGTTAATATTCTTGACATAAAAACATTTTCCTACATTATTTATATTTTATACTTTTTGTTTGTTTAAATAAAAGTTGTAAGCTAGAAATCTTAGCTTTTGAAATTATTTGTTTGAAATTAATGAATTGTTACTTTTTTTAAGATTTTAAGATTGTTAACTGGAAGAAACGAATGTGTAGCAGGAAATACAGTGCACTCTTATTATATTGCCGGTTCAACGAATTTTATTATTATGATTGTAAAAGAATTAATTCAATTTTGTTACATATTTCTGTTTTGTTCTTTTATCGATGCTTTAAAATTACTTTAGAATTAAAATTACTTGAAAAACTGTGAAATAAATTTTAGTTCAAATTATTCAAAAAACTGTGTATTAAATTTGAACTAAAATTATTTAAAAACTGTGAGTTGAATTTGAATTAAAATTATTAAAAAACTGTAAGTTAAATTTGAATTCAAGTTATTGAGAAAACTATGAAATAAATTTTAATTAAAATTGTCTTAATATTAGTTGAACAAGAATTAATCGAAGAAAATGTAAACTAAAACGATTGGAAAAACTGTTAATTAAATTTGCATTAAAACTTGCATTATTTGCGTAAGATTTTGTCTTATTCTTAGTTGTATAAGAATTAATCGAAGAAGATTTGAATACAAATTATCGAAAATACTGTAAATTAAATTTGAATTAAAATTTCTTCTATTACTAATTAAATAAAAATTAATCGAAGAAGATTTGAATTAAAATTATTGAAACACTATGAATTAAATTTGAATTAAAAGTTCTCCAATTCTTAGTTGACCAAGATTTAATCGAAGAAGCCCTGAATTAAAATCATTGAAAAAAACTGTGAATAAAATTTGAATTAAAACTTCTCCTATAATCATTTACATAAGAATTAATCGAAGAAGAAATCTTCTCCACTTAATTAAAGCAATGCAGTTCAGACAAACAGCAGTGATTCACGCAGCAAGTTATTTCGCCTACAGCCAAATTTTTTAACAAGTTTCCTGGAGACTGAAGTTAATTACGGCTCTAGTTCTTATACTTAATTAGCCAGCTTAGGTTTTACACGAGCAGCAACTTTTATTTGACTACTTCTTAACCGTGTATTTTTACGTTTCCCAGTGTTTTGATGGTTATAATGAATTTAAGCTGTTATCGTTGAAAGCCTCGAGTGACACACTGTTAAAATACTCTGGAAGTTTAAAATATTAAGAATTATTCTTTCGTTCGAGGCGTCTTCATTTATCGACTCCTCTTTTAGCAAGCTTTTCATAAACTGCGTCCGAGAACGAATTATCATTATTTCGTTTATAAAAGTTTTGTTCATTAAAATAGTATTCAGTTATATAAAAAATTTGTGAAAATTTAATAAATAAGAAAAGAAGAGAATGTGTAGTTTGGTCATAAAATATATGTTAAGAAAAAATTTGTTCCAGAAACAGGGACGTCGTATTTCATTTTATAACCTCAAATTTTAAAGGACACAGTTATGAAAGCTGTTTGTAAATCTTGCATAACTGTACATAACATTATATGTGGGTGTTTATGCATAAAATTTACTAGCATTATTTTGCTGTCGCAGAATTTTATTAGGCCTCATAAATGTTTAATCATATTCTGTCGTTTTATTTCGTTCATAGCCATCTCCATGTTCTAATAAAATTTTATTTTCGTTGCGCTCAGAAAGGTTTTCTTTATTAAAAATATATCTAAAAATGATGTGGTTAAATTGTAGAATTAATTTATATTTAATTTATCAAGTTGGTTTCTTATCGAAATTTTATTGTCTTTTATGTTATGTAACACATCATACTGTAATTTACAATATGTAGACATACTAATGAAGAATATGTATGAATATTTTTGATAATTCAATGAATTTTATGATAAATAAAAATGAATTAAATGATCACTATTTTTGAAAATAATAATGTGTAATATTATTGTATGCAGTATGGTACATTACTGTTATATTCCCTTTATTTTTGTTTAAAGAATGAATTTCTTTTTTGCAGTTACGAAATTCGGTCCTGCAAAGGTCACCCCCGCTGAGGAAACACAACCTAAGGAAGAAACAACAACAGAAGCAACGAAAACGTAAGTGTCGAAGACTTTCCCTAATTATGAAATATCGAAGCATCAAAATCATACAAAATATTAAAAAATTGAATAAAGGAATAATAACACAAAATTGACATAAAACTAACAAAAATATATTATGACTAAAAGAGAATAATATTGAGAATAATATAAAGAGAATAACATTTTATTCAAAAATGAAAGAACTTAAAAAGACAGATTACAATCCATGAAAATTTTTTATTGACACGAACGAAAAATTAATTAAAATCTAGTAAACGAATATAAATATTAAAGTATTATATTTACAAGATTGTAGATGAATAATATTTACAGAAACAGTTTATTGTATTTAGTCAGAGAACTAGTTTAATTTCTCTTTCAATGTTACATCTGTTCTACCGAATCGAACATTAATAGTTAAAAATGCTTCTGACCGCATTCTGCTCGTGGCGAATAATTAATGCTTTAATGAGAACGGATAATTGCTTGCCCATTACTGCTGAACTAAAGCAATAATTAAATAGACGTTAATGTTTAAAACTTAATGACTCTAGGTCTACGTTTTATTTTCACTTAATGTAAAATTGTTCCGGAAAATTAAATTAACCTGTAATTGGTTACTTTGTAACGTAGATAATATAGTCAAAACCATAGGTCAAAGTAATATTCAAATTATTGAACATATCATAGAAATATTATTGAATATTACTGAATATGTCATAGAAATATTTAATAATTTTTGGTTGCTATTATTAAAAATAAAAGAAACAGTATTGTAGGTTATTTTTGTTAGTTTGTATAATGTGTCTACATTTATTAATACAGTATTTATAGAAAATATTAACATGTCTTTTTATGTAAGACAATTAAAAATTATTGTAACCAGACAAACTTAAGTTATTAATTATAATACTTCGATTGTAACGAAGACCGTATGTGATCAACATTCAAGATTAAATATTATTAAAGAATTAAGAAAAAAGAATGTATAGTACAGATGTATAGTACTCTTACATATTTTAAGAAGAATTACTACTGATAACAAAATGAAAAATTGAAATCTTTAATTCTTCATTAAATATTTACAGTTATGCATAAACTAAACACAGTCGTAGTGCATTACAGTCCATTTTTCTCATAGCATTGCCATTTTACTAAACGTTTCCTTTGTCGAAGAAAAATGAAAGAAAAGTCGTATCCGTATCAGACAGACGAAAGAGTACCTTACAAATGTACTTTTCTTTTTATAAATGACTTTACTCCAACAAACTTCAGCCAACTTTTAACTCGGACATTTCAGAAAGTCGAAAACCGGGGACGATTGCAGAGTATGCCGGAAATCTTTCGCTCCCGACGAAACCTCGAGGACCTGCTGCGAGTGTCAACACAAAGTTTGCGAGGATTGCGCTTGCTATTCGACGACAACGAACTCCGATGATCCGGTGAGCTTCCACTTATGTACTACCACTGTTACTAATAGCTATTATTTAGTATATTGATTCCACAATACTATATGGAGTTGTACATGTATGAAGTATCATTCACTCTTTCGTTCCCATCTTCTTTTAAAAATATGAATATGAGTAACATTGAAATTATTACATTAACCTACTTAAAATTTGTTACTTAACCAACTACAAAAACAGTTTTTAACTCCAGTCGTTTCAACACATGTTCACACAATTTTTTAATTAATTTTAATATGCTTAATCAAGACACATTTAACCTCTTCGGCAAGGCTGAACTTCACGCGGTGCTGCTTCTCATTCAGCACTAAAGAATAAATATTTTTCACATATAATTTTATTTCTTATTTCATTGCAAGTTTATGAACATACTATTTTGAATTCATAATACACTTTTTATTAAGATAAATAATAAGTAGTAAAATTTGTTGCAGTCGTCATGGCGTTGTAGCGTGTGTCGACGAAAAATCGCGTCACGGGACCAGCCAATCGTTACACAGGAATCGACGGATTCCCTATTGGAGGTTCCAGTATTGGAAGCACTTCAGAGGAGACACAGCGATGCCAGGTTGAGCTGTCAACGCGGAAGTCAAATTGGTGGTCTCGGTTCCGGTTTGGCTCCTCCAAGAAGCCCAGAACTGAGGAGACATTCGGATGTGTCTCCTGCAAGTTTGAAGGAACTCGAGAAGGTAAGTTGACGGATTTGTTAGCTGAAAGTTGTAATGTTACGCTTCTCAATCATCTCTCGACAACAGAATACACGGCAACGTTTGTGTTTGCATATGTATTCGTGTTAATGATCATTCTTGGTAATTAAGTTGAAAACGACACAGATTTCAGGAGTTTCCTTAACTTATGGCGAACTCGGATGTGAACTCGTGACTGCTGTTACTAATTGCCGGATGGGTGCATAGATATTAGACGAGAGGAATTAATAGTTCGACTATCGTTAGTTCTACGAGTTTGGATTTCAATTTTGTGATCATATATTTTGTTTGTTCGATTTTGGAGAGCTTTCATTATGGGTTGTTTTAATTATGAATATTATGCAAATATAGTAGGTCTCTATAACAAATATATACCCTATAGCAAATATAGTAGATCTCTAACGTATTATATTTTAATATTAGTACGCGATTAATAATAATACAAGTACAATAGATTGTCATATAACACAGTTAATAATTATGTATGTACGGATGTCAACTCGTCAGTTGGCGCATGGCTGACCCACGTGTTTAGAAGAGCTACGGCTCCAATTGGTCAGAATAGAAAAATGGACGCCTCACACGCATTTTCGGCGGTATATTGGCTCGAGCAGTCGCACACCAATTAGGCCAAAAACAATGACAGGCAAACGTCTCGAAAGTGAGATAGTGCGAATTGCGTTCAGCAGTTGTTATCGTCATTATTATTCTTATTTGCCGAAATGTAACTGGAAGTGTTCACGGTGGGGAGCTTCTTTTACTTTGGGTCACGCGCCAACTCGTGGGTTGACATCTGTACGTCTCTAGTACTCTAAGGGTTAAAACTGTTTTCGGTTCCACTGGTTGTTTCAACATACTATAGAATAATGTATCAACAAACTTTTTAATCAATTTCTACCGTTTTGAAAGTCACGCTAGTTTCTAGTGTTCCGAGTAATTCATTCGCAGACATAACATTCGTTAATGGAATACTTACAGTGAGTTATATTCTTCGGATGCAATGCATTCTTGTAGTTTATCACTGTTTCCACTTACGAAGAAAAAGACAATGCAACGATATGTTAATATTTTATAAACAATCTAAGTTATCGACAGTGAAAGTGAGATTTCGTTCTTTTTTCGAATATTCACGATGCGGATAGAGCTTTTTTTATTTCCCGTCGACGCGCCAACATCTGGGCTTGCATCTGTACGTACAGTATTGCGCAAAAGAAAACAGTAAAAAGTTATCCTAGTCAACAGCTAAAGCACAGTTTCGACGCACCCGGCACGAATTTCTGCAAAGTAACGCATTTACGGTTCACCAACCAGCAATTTCGCGATTGTAATCGGTATTATATTAATCCTCCCATTAGCAGGAATGATCAGACTAAAGGAAACGTTATCCAATTCAGAGCTGATTACAAGTAACTGTTTGCGGTCGAAAACTGAATATTCCCAACAGCTATGCTTTAATCCTATTGGCGATATGCCAGAGAAAATCTGGCACATTCAGAACGAAAATTTTATTTGGTCTACGGGTTATATTTGTTCTACAATATGGTGCCCTGTGGCTGGACGCATGTTTATGTTGTGGTATGTCCTACGCTTGGAAAATACGCTTTATATCCTGCTTACTGTCGTCGATCGCGAAACAATGACCCAGAAAAGCTTGTAGGATAATATTCCATACGATTTTTCTTCAGGCACAGAATGATACTGATTGTATCGACATTTATTTCAGCTCTGATAGGTATGGTTTTTAATCGGAGATGAGAGTACAATATTTACGATACGTTAGCTTGGTCAAATGTTCAGATTCTTATTTTATAAGATATATTTTCTGTATTTTGATATGATTATTATGAGGACCACTGAACAATGCTTTAAATAGGAAATAATTATGTATTAATTATAATAAGGACAATTATTTTAAAATAGCGATGGGAAAATTAAATGAAAAAGTTTTCGTGTGTTTAAATTTTCTATTTAATAAAACGAAATCGTTTTATTTCTTTATTTTGAAAGAAATGAAAAGAAAACTTGCTTTTATTTAATATAAAATTTTAGCATATAATAAAATCGTTTTTATTTACTTTTTCTTGTTAGAGTTAAAAGATATTTTCTACAGCCAGATTTTTAGTAAAGTTCAAAAAAAATTAAATTAAAAAATCGTGTAACTACTGAGAGTTTCGAACTTGCGAATCTCAGTTTAATAAACTTAATGCTTTTTCATCAGACTAAAACACAATGTTCATTAAATGATATTCTTTGATAGTCCAGTGCAATTTTTACGAACATTAAACGTAACTTTCTTTTTCATTTTTAATGAAATTTTTACTTGTTGTCGTTTTGTGAAGTTATTACTTTTAATGACCTTTATAATTGCATAAAGTTTAAATGGAATGAAATCAAAATTTTTATAGGTGTACAACGTTTAACTGAATTATAATAAAAGCGGGAAATTGAAATCTTAAATTGTGTGTTGGTATAAGTATGATTCATAATACTTCTACTTTTAATAAAGATAGAACATTAAAGGTTTAAATTTGTATGTTAGTAAAATAACTCGTCGAGTTAGGTATCTAGAAAAGTAATTTGAATACATGTAAGTTTGGTGACTTTTAATCTTCTCAAATTTTTATATTTTCAAATTTCTGAGTCTTTAAACGTTCGAATTTTCAAAATTTCAAAATTTTTATACTTAGGAATTATGTTATTTATAGATTTCAAAATTTTCAAATCTTTACATAAAGCTTGAAGTCTTCAAAATTCTGCATTCTCGAATTTCTAGATGCTAAAATCCCTAGATTTACAAATTTCTGGGATCCTATATTACTAGATTTCTATATTCATAAATTTCTCAAATACCTAGGTTTGCAGATTTCTATGACCTTAAATATCTAAGATCCTAAACTCCTACATTCTAATATTCTCACATGCCAAAACTATGAATTTTCCAAATTCCAAAAGTCAAGTTTCTGTATTCCCAAATTTCTATGTCTACGAATCCCTAAATCATCAAGTCTCTAGATTCCCATATTTATATATTTTTAAATCGCAATATTCTCAAAGTCCCACATCCCTAAATACCTATGTCACCTAATTCTTATTTGTCCAAACTCCTAGACCCATAAATTGTAGTCTTCAAATTTCTACCTTCACAAACTTCCATGTTTCTAAATTTCTAGAACCCCAAGTCCCTAATCTATCAAACCCCTGTGTCATCCCTAGATGCCTACATTCATATATCTCTACATTTCCAAATCTCAACATTCAATAATTCCTATACTTCCAAATTCATAATCAACGCGAAAATTTTAAATGCGCCTCACCGATTATCATACATACCTAGATAAACCAAATTTGTTCTTGACTATGCGTGCGGCCAAACAAAATGGCCCGTTCACACAAGAGGAGAACTCGTAAACTCGTTTACTGCTTTTCTCATCTCAGTGCATTTGGTTAACACGAGGACCGCGGTGGATTTTATCGATGTTCTCGATCTAGCGTGAGACGCAGGCAATAAGAAAGCACCAGAAGAGGCAAAGAATAAGAGAACGTTCGGTCGGCTTTTCGATCCTGAGAATTTATTGGAGAATCGTTTTTGTTGGCTCGAAGAAGAATCAGCAGAATCTCATTTCATTGGAAACGACTGCGGAAACGAAAGAAAGTGGAATGAAATTGAAATCAGGCCATCGGTACCGTGACAGGACGGTGTCTGGGGTTAGGGTGGATCCGGAAATCGGTCGAAAAAAAGAGGAGAGAAAAATATATAGAAGGACACGAAAGTGAAAAAGGAGGTCGCGAACGAGAGCTTTGTGATTGCTTTGAATCTTCAGCGGGTACACAAACGGGAAATTAGCGGTCGCCGGCAACAAAAGGAAACTGGCTTGAATCAGTTTGTAACAAGGGTATTAAAATGCATTTTCGTTTCTTGCTCTTTCGGTGACTTCTGTAATCTTTTCGGGAAGCTTTCAAGAAAAAACTTTAAGACTTTGTCACTGTAAAATCCGTTGTATTTATACTGATTTTGTAGGTTTTTATTTTTTGGGGTAGCCTTTGAAGGATTTGTGTGTAGTGGAAATTGAAGATTGTTATGTGATTAGTTTCATCAATTTTGTTATAACACTGACTTATAACTCTAACTTACAAATTTGATTTATAACTCTAACTTGTAACTCTGACTTATAACTCTAACCTACAAATTTGACTTGTAACTCTGACTCATAACTCTAACCTACAAATTTGACATGTAACTCTGACTCATAACTCTAACCTACAAATTTGACATATAACTCTAACTTGTAACTCTAACTTCTAACTCTGACTTACAAGTCTGATTTATAACTGTAACCTACAACTCTAACTTCTAACTCTAAACAAATATGAAACTGTAAAAAATCTAAAATCCGTTCATTATATTTCTTTTTATACAAAACTTCCCCCATAAATAAATGAATTGTATCATTTAGTTTTATTCACAAAGAACCCTATCCGTAAATTCCAAAGTTCGACAGGTTAGGTTGATCAAGGGTCGTTAAAGAAGATATTCGCACTCGTTGCCCCTAAAATATATCCACATTAACCGACTTAATACATTCGCCGTGAAATATACAACAGAGCAAAGCACCGATCGATCGTTCTCCCTCAGGATAAACAAAATCCCCAATTTTCTTTCGTTGCCGAAGTACCCAATTGGTTAAAGATAGCCGAAAGAAACGTATCGGCCTGGATAACGGCATCCTGATTGATAACATCATCCTGGTTGTTGTCGAAGCGAGCCGGTGACGCAAGAACACGGGATTACAAGCGAGATAATACCCCGCGACAAATTTATCAGGGCTAAAACGCCCCTCGAACGGCTGCAATTAGCAAGAGAGAGAGAGGGGGAGGAACCTCGAAATTAGATCCCTGCGATTCCGTTAAAATCTGACGCAATTTCCTCGATTACACCTCCAATTGGATCAGCCGTTTGCCTGCTGCTCCAGCCCTCGAAATTCGAGCATCGATCGAATAACAGACACGTCAATGCCAATTAATAGGAGGATGATAAACAATAGTTTACTACGGGACAAATCAAATCGCGTCAGACGCGAGCATACCTCTTCCTGGTTCATCGTAAACAACGAATTTCTACCAATTCGTAAAATGGCCATCATGCACATTCGTTCAGATGCGGTGACAGCCATGTCGCTCGGAAAATGAATCTCCTGTGTTTTCCTTTTTTGTCCACGTCTCGTTCCGGCATTTTAATTTTCACACGTCGACTTTACTGATTTACTGATGTTTCAAATGAACTGATGGTTGGAAGTTTGTTATATGTTATTTAACAGTAATTTGTTATGATACTGGGCTGTGATGAATTGTTTAAGTTAATGCATCTAGTCATTAAAATGCATTTAGTGAGGGCGGTGACAGCTAGGGAGATTGGAGCAAATTTTGAATACTGTTACATTTGTTAGAACAATACTATTGGTTGATTGATGAGAAGAATTGCCTGTAATTAACTGTTGGATGATGAGAAAAAGTGTGTATTGCTACAGAAAATTCGTGAATTTCTAGATTTTAGAATTTGTAGTTTTAGAAATTTGTACAGCAGAAGACTTGGAAATTTGAGAAGTTGGACGCTCGAAAATTTGAGAAAATTTGGATATATTAGAATTTTTAAATTGAAGAGTTTATGGATTTGAAACATATAAATATTAGAATTGAAGGATTTGAAAAATTGCAAATTACTAATAAAAGAATCCAGAAATTAAAAAATCTTGTGATCCAAAAACTGTGAAATTGCAACCCAAACAATTCCACAAATAAACCAAAGCTTTGCATAAAATTATCTATCAAATTTTAATTCTAAATCCATTCCTCTTTTAATAAATTAATAAATTAGATACTATTATATACAGGATTACCAGTAAAGTAGAGATTAGTAGCTTATAGATAATCAGTAAATTAGAGATCAGTAGATTAGAACGTATAAAAATGATCAACAAAAGCACTATTAATGTAATTGTCGTTGCTTATCATTCCGATATTTTCCAGAACATATCAGCTTTCCTCGAATTCATAGCTTGTCGTGTGAATATGTGATACACGTCCCGATGCGAGCATTATGACACATCACGCCAACAGTCATAACCTCCTTCACGCAATGGTGTCACTCCCTGTGAAACTCTAATCTGTGTGTCGTAATGTTATAGTTTCGAAAGGTTGCAGGGGAACGCCGGGATGATCTCAGATGGGAGAGGGACCTTGATCGCAACAGATCCAGGGCAACTTCACCGGATCGACATCAGGTGGACAGAGGAAGGGCTGCGAGTCCACAGAGGGTTGGAGTCGAATCTTCCTCAGGTAAGAATATTTTCAAAACCTTAACATATTTTAACCTTGAGGTTCAAGTCTGGTGATACTTCGAACATTTTTTGAGGATTTTGGAACCTCTGGAAAATTGATACATTCTGATGGTCTTTGTTTATCTTATTTTATTTTGGTCAGGAGAGACGACAGATGTTTGGCTTCCAAAATGTGCAAAATGCAATTTCATAATTTTAGTTTAATGTCAAACAGCAATATTTAGTAATACTTTTTCGGAGATATTCTTTAGACTATACTTAAGAGTCACATAGAATTTTGCAATTTTGTTTTAAAGTCTTCTTAAAAAATGTTTTTATGTACTTTCGTTCATTCCTTTTCGCTTCAAACTACTAGAATAATGAAATTGCATTTTTGCATATTTTTAGGAACCAGACATCTATCCTTGTTCTAGGTTAACAATGTCCTTCATTAACAAGGACAACCGAAATGTATTAATTTTTTAGAGGTCCTAAAAATCCCTACTCAGAATAATTTGTACTTATTCTTCGTCCCTAACATATTTCAACCCCTTAAGAGTTTATCGTCGTTCGATACTTGCTCTCATATTAAATATCAAGTGCGATAAATATATAAGGGATGAAACATAATTTATACAGTTGTTCTACATCTAAACAATAGTTAATAAAACTACCAAACCGGTGAAATAACCGCCCCACAAGTTTTTTATTATAAGTTACACAATTTGTACTTTTCTTGAAATCTGCATTGGTTTTCATCAAGATAAAGAATTAATATCTGTACTAATTTATGTTTTGTCATTTGTCTATTTATTTCTTGACATAATTTTTCATTTCAAATTAAGTGCACATTATATGTCGGTAGATTTAGAGTTAATGTACATTTTGACAAAAGTATCTTAATTTTTGTAGTTTAAAATGAGGAATTTCTGTTAATCCGTAATTTCCTAGACAGTTGCGTTATTCATACTAGTTAATTATTGACGCAATGACAAATATAGAAATGTGATATGTTCAGCTCATTTTGTATTTAGCGATGTTTGATTCGTGTAGATTATAATTAGAAGTGAATCTGAAATTGCGGTGAAAATACGAGATCGGTCACATTTGAACTGCTATGTGTGTCACGAGTGTGACACGATATACAAGGGGTTAATGATATAGTATTGGGTTAAAAGGTTAATATAAAGAGTTAATGAATACTGTCATGTATAGTAAATAGCCAAATTATTATCCTGAGGAGATTATTGTGTTATAGTGTGTTGGTATAGTATGTTATGTACAGTAAATAGCCAAATTATTATCCTCAAGCGATTTCTTCCAAAATGCAACATTTCAATTACTCTAACAATACCAATATTTCACAATTTTTATATCTCGAAATATTTTCCAAAAAATTTTTCGCGTCGGACTAACAATTTGTATAGAATTCTAATAATTGACATCTGTCACAAATCAAAGAAATTAATTATAAAGTCGTTCTAATGTCAACAGAACCACCAGAGTCAATGGCCATCGACGTGGACGAGGACGAAGAACGTCGAAGACGAGCTCGTCGAAGTAGCACGGTTCGTTGCAAGTCTCGCATGACCAGGCAAAGGTCGTACGACGACGAAATGAAGAACGTGGCTGCGATGTCCGGAAGCGGAGGGCAACACGCTCATCCTGAGCCTGGTCTAGGACTTCCGGTGCAGCTACCAAGACGAGCATCAGCCTATGACGTGTACGCCGCGCCAGGAGTTGGAGGACTTAATGCCATGGCCATCGCGGCTGCCCAGCAAAGAGCATCGATCTCTGCCCAAGGTAGACCATATTTCTATTCACTTCTTATCAGATATTTGTTCACCTGTATGTCGGCCATGGACGTGTTTTTAGAGATTACAGTTCAGCGACTTTTTGTTACTTTTCGCTTCGGCTTTCAACACTTTGCGACAGGTAATTTTTCTTCTCGCGCCACCCGTGGTTAAACCGTGCTTTAAAACATCGTGTACGTATTAAGGAGCTTTATTTTATTGTACAATGAAAGTGGATCGAAAAACTCGTTTTTAAGATATTTGTAAAAACTGCTGCTATAATATTGAAGTTGCAAGGTATGGTCACTTATCGATTTTGTTCCAATTGAACAGAAAGAGGTGTGCGATCTTAACTCCGTATAGTTTGAAGTATTGCAGTGGATGTAAAGGGAAACTTTTCCATTCGTGGAATGTGCGGAGATAAAAATCACATTTACAATATTGAACATGGAGAAATGACAAATGTGCTAGATTAGGGAAGACATTTGCTGAATTTTTGTTCAAATTATGCTGGTAGAATAAAACTGTTACTACAATGGTTAACACTTTGTGTTAACTAATACCTACGTAGAGATAATAAGTAAAAATTTGTCTTGCAGCTTTGGTAGTTACAGCTTTGTTTCATTCAATCAAAATGGATTGATAGTCCATCTATCAAAATTGAGATATTAATTAAAAATAATTTAGGTCGAAAACGTTCAGTTAAAGTTTGCATGAATAAATTGAACAAAGTAATACAAGTGGTCTACAAATGGTCTACACATTTTTTATATAAGATTGTTTTTTATTTTCGAATAGATTGACGTTAAAGTGTAATGGCAAAAATAGAGTGGTTGTAAATGCTTGTGATGAGTAAATTGATATCCATAACACTTGAGATAATATAATACAAGGTACTTCTAGATCGAGACACGATTATACTTGTCCAGGATATATTTTATTATGTATTGTGTTTACAGTGTATCATTTGTTCCCATTTTTTAAGAATATTATTTCAATATATCATTGTTATCATTTGTACACCGTCACACGACTCAAATAATAAATCTAGATTACCATCTTGATTTCTGAAGGTATTATGAAGGTTACTGAAATTAATGATGCTCTGCACTTGTGGCGCAGATAGTATTCGATGTATGAGATTAGGAAATTAATAATTCTTAAAAAATAAGTCATAGCAATCAAATATTATCTAATATAATTTAAAATAAAGTTTGAAGTTTAGTTACAAAAGTTGAAACGCAGAGATAAAATTAAACTGCAATCATTTTTCAGCGAATTATTCATATCGTTTGAAAAGATTAGATGATGGAAAGTTTCAAACTTTGGATCAAACACGTGGCTGTCATTAGAGTTTGATAAATCTAAATTGCATTTGTTGTAAGTTTCTAGTTTCTTTCTGACTGTAACTTTTTAAATTGAGGGTTGATACGTCAATTTTCCTTTTACGTTGTTTTAATGCGATATCAACTAACTAAATATAAATTTTCTTTCTTCTTTTTCTCGTTTAATATTGTTATTGGTCTTCTGTAAAAGATTGAAACGGAAAATAGGAAAAAGGAAACTTTGTTTTTTAAAAAAATTAACTTTTATTGTAAATTTTTTTATCGAGAGTTCAATAACGTGTAATAATTGTGATAAACTAATGTAACGTGTGATGAACTAATTAAACTTCGATTATAAATTTTTTATTGAACTTTGAGTAATGAAGTAATTTATAGTGGAAGTTTAATTATCTTTTTCATTGAGAGTTCCGTAGAATGATTTATAATGCCCGCTTAATTAGTTTTGTAATTAATATTATTTAAAAAATAAAAGTTCTATCGTTTTACTATTTTATTGAGTCCAATAATATATTTCATTAAACTCCTAAAAATTTTCACGGAGGAAATTAAATTTGATTAAGTACTATATTTACCGAAAAATTAATAATTGGAAGAAATTTGTGTTATTTTATGAAGTGTTGAATTTTCTAATAAATGACTGTGTCGTGAAAATGGTACCATAAGACTGAGAGGGTTATTTCAACGTAATTAAATGGAGAAAATACTGCTGAAAATGTAGAAATTTACGGGTCACCTAAAGATATGTGCAAAATTTAATTGTTCACTCTAAATTTTATTTGACATTACAAATTACGGTCAAAATTTATTTAACACCTCAAATTATTTAGTTAGTACGTCATTTAATTTACAGGAGCAATTTTGAATGAATAAGCAGAAAATTAACCAAAAAAAGGAAAACTGAAATTGCTTAACGATTTAGTAACCGAATAATAACGTTAATTATCACGGTAATTAGTGTGAAAATAAAACTGTTATGGAAATAAAACCAATGTGCAAGCTAAACGTTTAAAGCGAACAATTAAAACGATCACAGTTTTCAGCGTGATTCTAAATGTGCTCATTCGAGCATTACGTTCGAAAGACATCATTGATTTTATCATTCGTATTCCTATCATAAAAAGATGATTATCGAAAATACCAGGAACAATGTATAATTCAATACCTTTTATGTTCATTTGACGAAAATAATTTCATTGAAAATTATTATTGTAATTGCGTCATTGATGCGAATACAACGTCAAAATATTGAAATTCTGATACGATCAATTACGGTACGTTTGATAACAGAAAAGGGTGCAGTGGTTTCCAAATTAATGCAATTTTTCGACGTCTGTTAGGAATTCTGACACCCACAGACAATGATGCGAAATTTACGATAGACTGACTCCATTAATTAATGCCATTTTAATTAACGGTGAACCATGTAAGTAATTGACAAATTGCCGTTCTCCATTGCGTTCGTGTGGTTCGTGCGATCCGAGTTATTTAACCGGGTTACAGGAAATATTGCAAATATTCTGGTTGTTGTCGGAACTTTCGAAATTAAATCGACTTCATGAACGTTCGATCAACTTAATAGGAAATTATTGAACTAGAAACTTTCTTGAAACTTCTAGGTAACTTTACCGAAACATTGTTGTTTTCCAATTACTTTCCGGTAAATAATTGCCTTATCGTTTATTAATTAAAAGGGGTCAGTTGAAGAGTGTGGATTATCACTTTTGAGGTTAGGTTCGTAAGTCTCTCCTCCATTTCTTCAAAAGCAAATGCAAATGGTGGAAAACTTTTCCATCATATACAAAGTAGTACATGTTTATAAAACTAAATACGAAAATATAAATAAAAATGTGCAATTTAATTCATTTCCCACGAACAACTAAAATTTGCACAAATTTGCTTAAATTTACCCCTATAACATTTGTCACTAGAAGCAACTGCAGTAGTTTTAGCCTCAATCGCGCGTTTAACTACAGAATAGTTACAGAAGGCCATTCATTCGAGCCTTACAGCAGAACGAAAGACCTACAAACGTGTAATTAAGTTTAACTTCCTTCAGAATGAACAGTTTCCAGTCGACCATATCCGTGTCCACAAGGCCGGACCATGCCTAACTTCGTTTCATTTTGGTTGAATCTCAAACTAAAACTTTGATCTCTAATGGTTGAAACACGGTGTAACGAGGTGAACGTTGTTCTAATTAATTTGTCGACATGTTACGTACTTTGTAATCGAGACTCTGACATATATTTTCAACACAATTTGCTTCTAGATTATAATGGAATTTCGTTCGATCGCTGAATAAAATCCGGGGATAATTAACCTTTCGTTGTAGGTGCACGGAGTCGGTATATGATTATAGAATATTGTACTATCCTCTGTGCACGTAGTTATATTAAGGTTACTGAACATGATTCTGCTAGCGTTTTCAAATTCACCACCCACGAGAAATTCATAAATTATTATAAAGTAAACCTGGTAATCCGAGGATACCAATTATGATAAAATTTTGCGAGATTATGGAACATCGATTCATGGAAGGAATAATTATTTTTTACTGTGTAACTGATGAGGTTAAATCATACGACAAAGCTTCCTTAAATTTTCGTTAGTTTGTTAAAGCTTTACTTTTACTTGTAAGTGAAAATTGAACTATAAGATATATTTAAAAAATTGGCTACAGGTTCTTTGTTAAAAAATGTAGAAAAATTATCTGATTCCAACACTAAAAAATAGTAATTTTAGATAGTGGATAAATTGTTCCGTGTACTATTCAGAAATGGGAAATGATTAGGCAGATTTAGGGTAGCGTTTTAGAAGTTTGCGCTAAGTGAAGCATCTTCTTCGTTAATGTAACATGAATTTTCAGGTGGAAAGATGCTTAACACTAGTTAAACGCTAAGTAGTAATATCAGTAACCCCTTAGGTCCCTAATGATGTTCAACGTAACGTTGACGAAACGTTAGAATCATTTCTCAGAAATTGGTATCGTAGAGAAATATTTAGTATGCTTTCGTTATAAATAGTAACATTTACGTCAAAATAGTATTATGTAAATTTCGTGCCATGAGAATTGCTAATTATTTCATGTTATTAAAAACTAAAAATTAAAAGATATTGAATATTCTATATAAGTAATAAATAAATTTTATGTCACAAGAATTTAATCAGTTAATAAAATTTAATCATTGATATCTTCATTTTAGTATGTAGCACATATACTATATTATAATAATTTAGTGCAATGTAAAATTCTGTTTTAATACAAGATATCATTAAAATGTATAAATACTATTAAAATAAAAATTTTAGATACATCTACACATAATCTAAACTAGCAAATTAAATCATTATATCAAAATAGTTTATGTTTTTCATCCTCATCAACAATTTAATAAATTTTTATAATTACAACTATTTTAAAGCTATTATTCCATTCGGAATTTTTATTTGTTTCACAGTTATCAGATAAAACTTAACAAAGATTGAAGGCATGATTGTCTTCCTGAAGTTTGCGATTCCTTAAGGGATAAAAGGGATAAATAATGGAAGAAGAATCGGGTAATTGGGTTGCTAGGATAGGATTTTGTACTCCATTCTTACTCTTGTACGACTGTTTCCACCAATTACGTTATCTAGGTCGTCGATAAACTCTTCTCCCTTAAGCCTCATATCTGGCCTGACTGTCTCTCTGTCGCTTTGATTAGCCTGATAAATGTTATTTATACTTTATACTTCAGAAATAATTTATTTGTTGTTATACATTCGGTTTAAAATCTCTAGTATCATTTTTTTCATATTTTTGTGTTTAAATTACTGTGATTTCATATTTATTATGAACATGTGATAATTATTTTATATACATGTGTATAATTATATACAATAAGCATGAGTATAATTATTATGATCTTATATTCATTGTGAATATTGTAATCATATAATTATTATGATTATACAATTATTAAAGTAATACATTTAGTAAAATAATATTAATAACTATTGTCAAAGTTATTAGATTACTTAGTGAATTTATAGAAAGGAAAATATTATTGCAACTTAATGAATAATTGTTAAGTAGATTGTTTATAAAGTCATAACAATTATATGTATAATAGACTTACTTAGACTTACTTATCTTACACTTACTATGAACACCGTGATTACATAACTACATAAACTTTATAAACAATCTACTTCAAAACTATCATTCATTAAGTTGCAATAATATTTTCATTTCATTAATATTATTTTATTAATTTACTTACTATGAACACCGTGATTACGTAACTACATAAACTTTATAAACAATCTACTTCAAAACTATCATTCATTAAATTGCAATAATATTTTCATTTCATTAATATTATTTTATTAATTCATTTACTATGAACATTTACTATAACCACTGTGATTATACAATTATAATAACTTTATAAATAATCTATTTAAAAATTATCATTCATTAAGTTGCAATAATATCTTCATTTCCATAAATTCTAAGTACTCTAACTTTAATATTAATAGCTAAATAAGACAAGTAGCAGATAAATAATCCTATAAGTTTGAAATTTCTCTTATTACATAACACTGTAGCAAGAATTGATCGGAATAAAATGTTCTGTTGACAGGTGGCAGGAAACCCGAGGAAAGACCAACATCTCGAAGATCATCATTTAGGGCAGTGAAGCCGGTGATGCCATACGAAGTCGGTGCTGAAGATGAAAGTATGATGAACTTGGAAGCATCCTCTGTGCCAGTGGTTCCACCAGCACAACCTGTATTAGTTCCTGACGAGGAACGACGAACTAGGCGAAGAGGCTCTCAATTGTAAGTACTATACATTTAACAGTTTCCAATGCACATCAAACTCTATCAAAAATTTATTAGCCTTCGACCGATGGAATTTAGTTTTATTAGAACTATGGAATTTGGTTTTAACACCAAACCAAAATGACTGTTCCATAAATTTCTTATTATAAATTATACAATTTGTTGAATCTCTTGAAATCTGTATTGATTTATATCGATATGAAGAATGAATGTACTAATTTATGTTTTGTCGTTTGTTTAGTTATTTTTCAGTTTCACTTTTAATTACGAATTAAGTACATAGACTAGTAGGTTTAGTGTTAAAATCCCTTACTACTATGAACTATGAAAATTTTTCAAAAGATCTGCAAAGTTATGCCACAACGAACATAAATGATAGAAATTCAATGAGTAATAGACTGTGCATCCTTATGCACTTGATATGTGATTCATCACATATGACATATCAACATTCACAAAATAAACCTTAATTTTTTAATTTCCTAACTGTGCATTTTACTAATAAATACTATTGAAATATCTCAATACTAATGAAATACAGATATGTAATTTATAAACGAGAATATTTTACAAATTATTTGATTTATTTATATATCTCATAAAATTGTATCTTATTGCATTTTCACTGAAATATTTTATTTTTAAGAAAATTAACAAACGAGGTTAAGAAACGCTGTTGCCTGCATTTTCGTTTGATGAAAAATTTGCAAGTCGATATTCTTTTTCCAATTTCACGTAGTTTCCTATGCAATATTTCCTCTGTGAAAAAATAAGACAAAGAAATAACTCGTTTTCGAGTTACACCGTGCTTCAAAGTGAACCGAAGTTTATTTTCAATCGAATAAGGTTTCATGAGTTTATTTTGAATGCATTAATTTTCCCATGAGATACTGTGTTTTGCAATTCTCTTTGAACTTTGTTTTATCATGTATTCCTAGTCCGAGTTTCTGTGTCAGGTCGTAAACAATTTTTACATCTCTTCGAACTGTTTCGTGTGGAACGACAAGATATAGTAGCTTTTTTATGATTTTGATCAAATATTCATGTTTCAAGTACGCGTTGAACTTGAGTCGTTTCATGCTGTTATAAAAATTTTCGCTGTGTTTGTTGAATATTGTGTTTTTAGGAACATTAAATTTGTAATATAAATCATATGAAAAAGTGTACGGTTAAGTGGATTAGGGATTAAATGGGAGAATGGAAAAATCGAGTTATGTTTATGGAAACGTGTTACAACGTATGAAGCGAGATAAATTTCAGGGATTTTAGGGAGATTATTGAATAGAAACATTGGGGAGATACTTTATGAAATACGTTAAAAGAACGTGTGAAAAATATAAGTGCAATTTTATTGAAATTGCATTTTTCAAGTACTTTCAGAACATTTTTAGTACAGTAGAACCGTTTGTTGCAAGACTTTAATAATTTATAAAAAAAGGTATAAGTCAGCTTATAAAATGAAAAATTATATCAGGTTTGGAAACCTGAGTCCTCAAGAAATTGGAAATTTGGAAATTGGAAAATTGGGAATTTGAGATTTAGGAGTTTCTAAAATTTGGGATCTAGGGAATTTGGAGACTAAGGAATTTGGGGACTAAGGAGTTCGGAAACTAGGGAATTCGGGAATTTGGGAATTTGGGAATTTGGGAACTATGGAATTTGAGAACTAAGGAATTTGGGAACTAAGGAATTTAGTAACTAGAGAATTTGAGAACTAGGGAATTTGGGAACTGAGGAATTTGGGAACTGGGGAATTTGGGAACTAGAGAATTTGGGAACTAGAGAATTTCAGAACTAAGAAACTTGGAAATTTTTCCAAATTTGGGAACTTGGAAATTTTGAAATTTCGGAATTCTGATATTTCAAAATTTGAGAATCCAGAACTTTAAAAATTTGTAAACCAGTATATTAATGCACTCGGCAATTTAAAAAATAAAAAATTTCTAAATTTTCTAACTTAAAAAACTTGTCTTCTAATACCTTATATATTTAAAACTTCAGAAACCTAATTTCAAAATTCATAACAAAATGTATCCACAAAATAGTTCCTACTGTCATCTAAAATATACACTAATGTATACTATTCCTGTTGACCTGTGAACAAAAGCGAATCAAGTACTTATGTATATCAGCCAGTATGTTAAATCATGTTCCAGCAAGGGTGGAAATTGTCCAAAGAAATATAATTCCCTGAAATCGAGTCAAGGACATAAATTGCCAGCATATTTGCTGGTTGTTCACCCTTGTCAACCCCTTCCACCGCTCCCTTCTGTGTTAAGGACGCGTTTTGCTCGCGGAAGCAGCAAAAATTGAAGTAGATCGCAAACACCAGGTTTCCGTCACTACAGAAATAATTAATGCCACACCTATATGTATACGCAATCTTTCGCGAAGATATATGAATATATGTATTATAACTATATACACGCTGTTTCCCTCGGTTTGTATTATTATCACAGTTCCAGGTCGAATTTCTGTGAATTCTCGGCCCACGTTCCTAACAAGGCTCTTATTAATCTCGAAGACGAACCAGTTTCTCGATTTTCATTAAGTTGAGACGGTTACGAATTACGACGTTAGTTATTAGTCTCAAAGATGACGACGTTTCTTGCTCACCGAGAAATCTCGTGTTACGTTGAATTAAATTAGTCACCGTGGCTGACGATATCTTGCATAATTTATTGAACCCACGATCTCGCAATTTGCAGTCGGCGATGATTTATTTAGTAGGAGAAATCGATATGCAGTCGCACGTCGATTGTATCAACACCTATTTAATTCTGTGACACGAATGGACACTTATGAAATACCATTTCAAATATCATTAACATTCTGTCTTATTTTTGCATGACTACTGTACTAATTTCTGATAATTTTAATAACTCAAAAAATTCTTAATAATCTTAATAAGTTTTGAAACATTTATTTCTGTATATTGATACGTTGATTAGATAATTAATTTCGTACATTTTATAGTAATTTTTCAGTAGATTTTTAATACTTTTATTTTTAATGACATTGTTTGAAATATTATGAATGAATAGGTTAGTTTTAGGAAACTGTTTAAAATGACAATCATTTCGAGATTATGTTTTTTTGTAATGTAGAAATGTATTGAATTAAAACTACTGATAATAAATTAGTTGTATTAATTGGAAAATGAAATTAAATATAAAATACTGTAATATATTGCAAATATATATATAGAATAAGATATTACAGGTTATGTATACATATAAGATATATGTATAATATACCTGTTAAATAATTTCAAGCATATAATATGTCAATGTATAGAATGTATAATATAAAAAGTAAAGAATTGCAGATATTTAATATGCAAATACATTACATATCTATACGAATTAAAGAAATATTCGAATTATTATGAATTTGTAGGTTAGGATACCTCGTAAGCATAATGACCTGTATAATAATTCTAAACAGAAACATTTCTAAACTGTAGTAATAAATGTAGCAAGAATTATTTACAATTAGCCAACTATAATAATTGACATAAAATTGTGAAAATGTTAATCGAAATGCATTAATAAATGAATTAATTATTCTTAGAATTTTTAATAAACCAAAGTTAAGCTTTTTGTACAGTAATAATGTTAAAATAATAATAATAATGAATTATTACTGTGAGTAATAATTGTGAATAATATTGTGAATAAAATTGTGAATAAGATTGTGAATAAAATTGTGAATAAAATTGTGAATAAAATTGTGAATAAATAATTATGAATAAAATTGTGAATAAAATTCTGAATAGTAATTATGAATAAAATTCTGAATAATAATTATGAATAAAATTGTGAATAAAATTCTGAATAATAATTACGCATAATAATAATAATCTTTGCCAAATCATTCAATTAATACAAAACTAAACAACAAACTTAATTGTAACAACTACAAAATTGAAATAAGAAATTAGCAATTAATACAGAGCACTGAAGAAAGAAAAAAAAATAATAATTTTTTTGTATTGTAATAATCTGCTGATTATAGTTTGTGCGATGTTTCAACGATGCTTAAAAACTACCAGAAGTTCCCTTTATTCGCGTGGACGTATTCAAATCGGTCGTATCGATTAGCGAAAACTCGCAGGTCGAGCAGAAACCACGTGAAATACTTTGTTTCACTTAATTCAGCGATTTTCGAGCATGATCTTCTTAAGCCACTCGATCTTCTCGGCTGTGGCAGAAGCGTTTTAAAGCAGGCAGGTCGTTTCAACCACTTCAGTCAAGAGAGCTAGATTAATTAGGATTACGAGAGGGAAATAGCGGGGAAGACAGAAAGAGAGGGAGAGAGATAGAGAAAGAGTACAACAGTTACCCTAAAGTGGTATGTTTTCCCTATGCTAATTCAATGTTACCATGAAGCGGGCAAAACGTTCGACCATAATTACGATTGCGTTCTGGAATTAAACGAAATTCCACAGAACTATATCCATTGTTGTTCTGTTTCGAAAAGTTCCGAATTGGATACCGAAGGGTATATCCACTATGGTGTTCCGCAACACGTAGCGAAATCGGTCATAACAAGGTGATTTTGGATGCAGAACTAAGTTCAGATGGGAGAATGAAAGATGTTATGCTATTTCTAAGGAAAATTGAGGTTAGAAATATATGGGTTATAAATTAATGTGGTTTTCATGTTAACACGTTCCGTGCCACGTGTACCATTTGTGGTACACGTCAAACTTGATCTGCAGGCCACGTGTACCATAACTGGTACACGCAGACATATTCATTTAATCTACCAAAAACATATGTTTTATGACAAATTTAATTCTATAAAATATATTTCCACTAAAAGAATGAGACATTAAACAAAATGCAGTATAGAACAAAGCACATAAATTTATTTATTTGTTATATGTACAATAGTTATGAATTTCAAGTAATGGTTGATTTTTTTAAAGCAAGGAATGCATAGAAATGGCTCATTCGGGCAATCGCTGCAAAACGTCACAACTCTTTTAGTTCTTTGCCTTGCTACTTTAGTACCATACTGTTTTACTGTTTTAAATTAAAAGATGAAAGAATAAACTAATGAAAGGCAACAATAGAAACATGTTTTCTAACAGAAACAAATGAAAAACAAACAATGTTTTCTCTGCATATATATATCAACCGCCTCTTTTGTTAGATATTCTATTTCCCTTGTTTTGTACTTAACAATTCCGAATACAACAGGTTCCCTTTACTAATTGAAAATTTGCGAACTGATTGAGTTCGCAACTGTCGAAATGATCGCAGCGCCACGTGTACCATAAATGATACACAGTGTCACAACTACTCTAAACAAGCTAATTACTTATGGATTGATGATGTAATGACATATTGTGTGACAATATATCAATTTTTAGTCAAAACAACGAATGGTCTGGAGGTGACGTTGGGCAAAGACGGCGTGGCACGGAACGTGTTAAATTATTTTTAAATTTAGACTATATAGTTAACGTGCAGTTAACACATAGTTAACTATAGAATAATTAAATACACTTAACATATAATATTTAATAATGATAATAATAATATTTAATATTTAATACGTATTAATAATAATGATAATACAGTTAACATATAGTTAATCATGCTATTATTATACAAACATGTAGTTTACCACATTTTTATTAAATATAGTTAATATACAGTTCATCCTATTACTATTACATATAGTTAACTTTCATATATCGAATAAATGCATGTATCAAAAATATATTTTTAAATGTATTATTTATTTAATAAATATGTAATTTATACAATGAAAAAATTTATCTAACAATTTATTAAAGTACTTTTTTTTAATAATATTTTAATAATTTTCATGACAAATGAACAAATAAACTAACATTGCTAATTGGTATAAATGTATACTTCTACATTTGTCAGTGAAGAAGTATAATTACGATACATAAATTAAAATATGAATGATCTTAGTATTCTTAGCGTGTCACTTTAATGGATCTTTGCTTTCTATTTGCATAATTGCGGTCTCGTATTAGACCTTTCCAACTTTTACGGATTCATAATTAATTGATGTTAATTACTGTTGTAATTAGGAGAACATTTAATGGTAAAATTATAGTCGATCAATAAAGATACATCTATATTATTATCGTCGATTATAGCTAATCGACGATAATTATTGTATATTTTACGATTCAGTGTAAAATTACTTGATGATAGTTCAAATATGCTCAAATCATTAAATTACATTAAGATGTTAGATATTCGAATGCAAGTAGTAACAAGTAGATAATAAATAATCTAAAAGAATTATTGATATAGCATAAAGAAAATTAAATATTATTTCAAAGAAGAGCGAAAACCACTTTCACTGTCGATAACTTTGATTATTTATAAAATATTAACATAGCGTTGCGTCGTCTTTTTCTTCCTAAGTAAAATTACACAGCGATGAACTACAAGAATGCATTGCATCCGAAGATTATAACTCACTATAAGTATTCCATTAACTAACGAATGTCAAGTCTGCGAAGTCTGCGAATGAATTACTCGGAACACTAGAAACTAGCGTGACTTTCAAAACGGTAGAAATTGATTAAAAAGTTTGTTGATACATTATTCTATAGTATGTTGAAACAACTAGTGGAACCGAAAACAGTTTTAACCCTTAGAGTACTAGAGACGTACAGATGTCAACCCACGAGTTGGCGCGTGACCCAAAGTAAAAGAAGCTCCTCACCGTGAACACTTCCAGTTACATGTCGGCAAATAAGAATAATAATGACGATAACAACTGTTGAACGCAATTCGCACTATCTCACTTTCGAGACGTTTGCCTGTCATTGTTTTTGGTCTAATTGGTGTGCAACCGCCCCAGTCAATATACCGCCGAAAATACGTGTAAGGCGTCCATTTTTCTATTCTGACCAATTGGAGCCTCTTCTAAATACCTGTGTCAGCCTCACGCACAAACTCGTGGGTTGACATCTGTATATTCAATTATGCTTTCCCCTTTGCTTGTCTACTTCACTACTGTATTTTTAATTGGGGAGAGTTAGTGCATTATACGCCGGTACTGTTTGTATAGCAATATTCAATTGAATAATTCTATATCATGTTACGTATAAGTATTGATCTTTGGCAGAGTTCATTATTCCATTGATTCTAGTTATCTTTTTCCTTGGTTCAAGTAAAAATGAAATGTTGATATTGTGATTTCAGACCGGACATAAACGCCATTAAGGCATTGGCATCTGCAGCTCCAGGGGCGGCTAAAGTTGTTCCCCCACCTGCTGTGAACAGGGTTGCAGCTGAAGATCGTGAATTAGCTCGTCAAGGAAGTCTCGTGGATGGAGAAAGCATTAAAATCGTTATTCATCATGCAGATAACGACATGAGTGAGTATACCTTCATTCACAATTTATTGTTCAATATTTTCTCTTCGAAGAAAATGTAGAAATACAGAAATCTCTTAGAGAATCATATGCATCTTTTGTATATTTATTACATCCACTTTGATATTATTATCATTATCTTTCTATACCAATCTTTCTATACCAATATGTGATATTTTTCTTAAATAAATAATTAAAACGAAATAGAATAAAATTATAACATTTAGAAAGTTTAGTATTGTAAAGATTAAAATAAAATTTTAACTATTAATTTTATACATAAATGTATAAATTGATATTCGGCAAATAATTCAATTCCTAATTTATTAAAATAAATATTATTTGAATAAATAATTTGTTGATAGATCTGTGACAATTTTTAGACTCTCCTGCGGGAGTTTTGACGCGAAATACGCCGAAAGGTCACGAATTTAGTTAGTAACTTTATAGGAACTATGATAATTAACTTTTTGCCTTATAATTTTATCAACAGTTGCGTCTGTAGGAGTTAATTATTCTCTACGTCAATGTTAACGCAAATAGAGTTTAAATATTCTGTGTATTTTGCATTTAACGATTTTTCGCTTAGCAGATTATTAGAGCTGAACATAAAACTCAACTTTACTGCAAATACTGCTCTGACGTGTCGCATTTGAATTTAAGTTGCGTCACGAGTGTGGCTCGATTTTATTAGGTCATTTCAGAAGTTCGCTCTCTTTTTAAACTTTATGATGTAAAAATAAGAATGTTACATTTCATTAACATTAAAAATATTAATATACTTATCATTAAAAATGTTAATATGCTTATCATTAAAAACGTTAATATATTTATTATGATAGTCGTTTATAATAATTTGTTTCTAACAAAAAAAGTATTGATGTTCAATATTCATATGTGACCACTAAACGCGCGAAGAAATTAATTAATGTAAATAGAAATTAAATGTAAACGTTAAATTATGTGTTAAGTTACAATTTTTTATATTATGACAACATTTGAATTTATTTTGTGATCTGTTGTTATAAATAATTAAATCTTGTATCCTTTGTTATAAATAAGTAAATCTTGTATCTTTTGTTATAAATAATTATAAATAATTTTTATATATGATTGACTAACAGCTGTGGAAAAATAGAATGTGTGTTAATAAAGTAAAATTACATGTATAATGTTTTGAATCTATAAAACAAACAAATTAAAATTACACACTATATACATATTGCCATAATCGAATAAATTTTATTTTGTTTATTACACAATTAAGTATTTTATGAATAGTAACAACAATAAAAGAATATTTAATAAAAATTAAATAACACAATATGCAATAATGAAGATTTTTATAATTTAATGCAATACATAAATTATGTATGTTTTAATTTAAAACTGAATAAATAAATTCGCACGTTTGATTGCATAAGTACATTGAAATTTAACACTTTCATTATTAAAAACAAGCTGATCAGTATTAAATCAATAATACATCAAAAAGTAAATTTTGTATACCAAAATATGATTGGTATTTAATCAATATTAAACTCAGATACGTCATGAATTTATTACGTGAATAAATATGTAATTAAATTAATTTAAATCTTGATTTCTTTTAATCAATTTTTTTAATACATTACTTTGATTAGATTTCATAAGACTAAATCTATATATGTATATTTTATTAATTAAATCCATAAGGCTTTACAAGCTTTGAAATACCCGATCAACGTTATCTCTCTCATTTTCTATACCTATATTCTCTACATACGCCCTACATATATTCAAGCAAATTATTTCAACGATACTGGAATAAATTAAATTTTATTCTTAAAAAATAATTTTACGTATTTACCTAAAAACTAAAATTTCAAATTTATACAAATGTAAGAATTAAAATTTTTAATTTATAAAAAGGTAAAAATTAAAATTTTTAATTTATACAAATGTAAGAATTAAAATTTTTAATTTATAAGAAGGTAAAAATTAAAATTTCAAATTTATAAAAATGTAAGAATTAAAATTTCAAATTCATAAAAAGGTAAAAATTTAAATTTATCATTTCTAACTGCAGTTGACTAAAAATTGTGTTTCTTAAAAAATTATGCAGCGTTCAGAAAATGAACGAAGCTTCTGACTCCCAACTTCGATCTCCATTTTGGCAGGCTTTCCGTTATATTTGCAGTTTCTTGAAAAAGACTTGAGGACTTGCTATGAGAGTAGGAAACACTAACTCACTTTCTGCAAGAACGAGCATCGATCGAGAGTTGAATTGGGGATATAAACGAAATCGTCTTTACGTTACATCAAGCGGAAGTCACGCGTTTGCGTTATAAAAAGAAAGCTGGTTCAATCTTCTTTCAACTTTCAAGGACTTTTCTTTTGTTACCAGTCGGATATGGATATTGAACAGACGTACTTTTTGTTAGAAACTAACTTGTTGGAAATTAACAGGTGTAGGTGATGTATGTGCAGGGTTTTTCTGTGTCCGCGAACTCATAATTAGCAGTTTCACTTATTCGGCTGGGTAGCTTCAGTACTTGGTTTTTGGTTTACAGACTTTTAGATTTAGGAATTTATAGAGATTCAGATGTAGAAATTTATAGAGTTTCAGATTTGGAAATTTATAGACTTTTAGACTTAGAAATTTATAGGTTTTAGATGTAAAAATTGATAGATTTACACATATAAAAATTTATAGATTTTCAAAGTTAGAATATTACATATATTTAGATATATAAATTTATAGATTTACAGATTTAGAAATTTATAGATTTTCAGATTTAGAAATTTATAGATTTTCAGATTTAGGAATTTACAGATTTTCAGATTTAGAAACTTACAGTATTGCATATTTTTGAGAATGGAAGGTGGGAAATTTTTGAATTTGAGAATAATTCTTAAAAGTTGAGACTTTGAACATTTAAAAGAATTTGAAAATTAAGGACTTGAAGATGAGTAATTTGTAAATTTAGAAATTCATATATTTTTGAATTAGAAATGTGGAACTTGAAGAGGGTGATGATTTTGATACTTGGGAATTTAAAAATTTGAGAAGTTGGAAGGTTGAATAGTGAGAAAATTTTGAATTTGATTGGTTGATAATATGAGAGTTTGAAAATTGAAGAAACATAAAAAATTTCATAATTTCATCATATTCCATAACTTTATAATTAAGTTGATAACTTGATAATTTGGGAACTTCATAACTTGATACCTTGATAACTTGATACCTTGATAACTTGATACCTTGATAACTTGATAACTTGATAACTTGATAACTTGATAACTTGATACCTTGATTCCTTGACAACTTGATACCTTGACAACTTGATACTTTGACAACTTGATACCTTGATAACTTGATACCTTGATAACTTGATAACTTGATAACTTGATAACTTGATAACTTGATACCTTGATACTTTGATAACTTGATACCTTGATAACTTAATAACTATATATTTTCATAACTTGATACCTTGATAACTTAATAACTATATATTTTCATAACTTGATATCTTGATAACACGATAGCTTGTTAACCTTATGACTTGATAGCGTGTTAATTTAATGATTTGATATTTCCACAATTTGATAACTTGATAATTTAATAATTTGAACATTTGAAAATTTACAGATTTGAAAGTTTAAGAATACACCCCTATAAAGACTGGGAAAGTCAGAAATATAAAAATTTGAAGTAGACAATGCCTATCAGTAATAAAATGCAATAAAAAATTCGTATCTCTATTAAATTATATACTTCTCTCAATAATATTCATCTAAATTTATGTTTCATATAATTTGCATTTATATCATCGCTTTAATTCATAAAGTTCTCAATTTCCCAACAAATGAAATTACTAAAATCTGATAAATACTAACTTTAAACTGAAATATGCACTTGAATAAATAATTGTTCACCACGGTAATTTTGCGACCCTTTTGCGATCCCGGAAATTTCATATAACAAATAAGTATATTTTAACTTTGAATTCGGCGAACGTGAAACCATGATTTCGTTTGCTTTAGCTAATTTCGTGTGTTCAAACGATGTCCAAAGCAAATAGGACGAAGCAAACATTTACACTGCTTTATATTTTTCATTGCAGCGCCATGGGTGAACGCAAAAAGAAGACTGAAGCTTAGGAGAGATCCAAACTTGGACAAAGGACACCGAAGTAAGTAGATTCAATGATCACAAATTAACTGAAATTCCTCTATTTTATTATAAAAACAGAAGGAAAAAGAATGTACATTTTTTTTGATAAAATTAAATGAACAAGTATATTTTATTAAGAGTCAAGTCTGGTAGCAGAATACTTGGAGCATAATTTGTGATAAAAAATTGATACATTTCAGCAACTCTTGTTTATCTTCACTTAAAACCTTTACTTAGAACGAAAGTATGTAGAAACATTTTTAAACAATTTTTTAAAGCGAAATTGCAAAATCTGCCTCTGTACAACTCTCAAGTATGGTCTAAAGAATATTTCTGAAAAAAAAAGTATGACAAAATATTGCTTTTTGGCTTCAAACTATGTAGTAGAATTGCGAAATCGCAGTTTGCTCATCTATTGTCCTTGTCTCTTCTAACCAAAACAACATAAGACAAACAAGGACCGTTGAATTGTATCAAATTTCCAATAGAGATCCCAAAAAATATACTCGGAGTACATATTCTTGAATTGCAAACAAATAACATAGTTTAACGATTTGTATAAAGAAACTAAAGAATTATTCATATAAACTAAATATTTGCATGGCTTCGCAGCATGTATTATTAAGGTTATGTATTTGAATTATTAAGGTTATGCACGTGAATTATTAAAGTAAAATATATGAATCCTTTGTCACATGAGGGATATTACTATGTTAACGTATTATAATTCATCTCAAACATACGGAAACACGATTTTGTGTAACAGCGACTGCAATTGTTTTTGCTAATTCCATCACGCATGAAGCTTTCTACACCGGCGGCCATTTTGCCCAGCTGACTGCGGGCAAAAACTTTCATACCAACTTTATGCTACTGCACATATTGCATCTAATTTTGAAAATTTATGATTTCATATAGTTTTATTAGGAATTTGGCTAAACTTCATATTTGAGAATTTGTAATTTGGAGAGTTTGGAAATTTGTAGACTTTGAAGGTTTGGAAATTTGTGCTTTTGAAGTTGGAACTTTGTACATTCAAAAATTTGAATATTTATAGATTTATAAGTTTGTGAATTTGAGAGTATTTTGACAATTTGTAATTTTATGTAATTTCATTATGAAATACTTTGATTTGTAAATTTGAAAATTAGAAAATTTATAATTTGTTAACTTGATAAGCTGTAATTTTGCAAGGTTTTAGATGGGCTATAAATTTAAAAATCTGTTAATTTGAAAGTTTTTAAACTTAACAATTTGTAAATTTCAGTTTGAGAATTTCTAAATTTTGAAATTTTGAAATTTTGAAATTTGAGAATTTACAATTTTAACATTAGAAATGTAAAATTTTTAATATTTTTACATTTGGAAGTTTGTGATTTTAGAAAATTGCAAGTTTTTAAATTACCAAATTTCAATGTTTAAGCACTTGCATGTTTGTACACTCAAAAATATGAAGCATAAAAAATTTCTATATCTCCAAATTAGAATGAGTAATTTTTTAAATTTGTGATACTAAAAATTTACAATATTAAAATTTCTTTTTCTTTCATTTAAATTCCCCTCTATTTTTATACCATAAAACGGTGTCATCTTCCAATATTTCAAAGTCCATCATTTAATATGCAACAATTTAATACAAATACAAACATATCCTAAATAAATTACTGAGACAAATTAATGAGTGAATTCAGATAAATTTTGATGGACACATGTCAGTAAGAAAAATAAAGAAAAAATTAAAGAAAACAAACTTATTAATTAAAACAATTGTTTACCTCCGTTGCATGTGGCATTTAATTACTGTTGTACCTTCAGTCGAGTTTGTTCACTTTTCGCTTCTGTAGAATTTCGAGGTAAATTCACCGGCGTTAAATATACGAGACTCATTCATTGTTAGAATGACTAGGGTAATGGAATAAATTAAAATTATTCTGTGGACATTGTGTTCCTAAAATGAGATGTTCGTCCATTGGAAACGTATTCTATTCGCTTTTAAACTTTCAATTCTTTCTCTGAGTTCATTTACCCCACATTTAAACTGAATAAAATAATTCTATTTTATTGTTAAAAATTTGTTTATGTAATTGCTTTTGTTTCTGATTGCCATATGATGTTTGTCATATATGTATATATTGGGGCTATTATAATTATATATGATAGTAAAAGATATAAAATCGAGAAAATGAAAAATGACTATTAATAACAGACTTTTTTCAAAATTTTCAATGTTTAGATTTCTTAAAACCATATTTGAAATGAATAAAATAATAATATTTATCGTTAAAAGTTTTTTAATGCAACTGCCTTTATTTTTAATTTGTCATGCGGTTGTTATATACATATGTACATGTATATCATATGTTGGACAAATGCAAATGTATGCGATAGTAAAAGAAATAAAATTAGTTAATTATCAAAAATCAAGGTTTCGTCGAAAAAATGAAAAATGGCTATTAATAGCAGACCTTTTTCAAAACTCTCAAGGTTTAAATCTCTTAAGTCCAGAAATTTGGTACAAAATGTCCTCTAAATCTTCGAGACTGACTACTTAAAAAAAGATTCCCCTACTAATTATTTAAATTGTTCAAATTTCTATAAACAAACAGATCTCAAAATAATTTTGATATACGAAGAGTACAAATCGAACGACTTGCATTTGTATTTTACTGAAACTTAACCTCAAAATAAATTTCTCTCCTACTCAATAAAATTCGTGAAACTTTTAATAAACAGAACAAGGTATTCTATGGAAGGTAACGTAATAAAATATTTATCGATTCAATTTTTAACACCCTTGTCAACAAAAGTGCAAAAAATGACTAATTTTCAAACTTCGAACACAAAAAAAGAAACTACACAATTTCCATAAAGGAGTGTTATTGTTCAAGAAGTATCTTCGAAAATTTCATAAGAGAACTTTTTACTCCGAAACTTTGAAATTGTTTTTTTTATTCGCTTCTTTTAGGGCTTGCAGGGAATTCATAGGAAATGGGAATAAAACTTGGCTTTTTCTGTCAATGACCAACCATAAACGTACTAGATATAAATGTATAAACTGTAACTAAACTATAAATGTATGAACTATAACTAAAATATAAATGTATAAACTATAACTAAACTATAAATGTATAAACTGTAACTAAACTATAAATGTACAAACTATAACTAAATTATAAATGTAAAAACGTAAATATACCAACCTTATAATACCGCAAACTTGTAAAAAGTAGAGGTCTTGTACGGAAAACAGGAAAAGCTCGTAATGATGATAAATTGTCCCGTTTTTGGATGACTTCCTCTACTGCGGTGAAATTATATTACTGGATCAAGTGTCTTTAGCTATGATTTAGAACAGGATTGTACAGTAGTTGAATTACTGCTAATAATGAGTCTCTCTAGGATTATGAACAACACCGGTACGGTGCTTAAACATTGATCCTATAGCAATTCAAAATAAGCTGGGTCAAGATTAATTGTAAAATATATACACGGCTGCCCAAATGTTTTAGCTCGATCAGTGAATAAAATGGTAATTAAAAGGCGTATATGTTATTTGTTGATGGGAAAAATTTTCTGGTTACTTTTTATTGGGTAGGAATTTGGAAATTTAGGGAAATAGAGATTAGGGGATTTGGGGATTTGGGGATTTAGGGATTTGGGGATTTGGGGATTTGGGGATTTGGGGATTTGGGGATTTGGGGATTTGGGGATTTGGGGATTTGGGGATTTGGGGATTTGGGGATTTGGGGATTTGGGGATTTGGGGATTTGGGGATTTGAGGACTAGAGGATTTGGGGATTTGGGAGTTTGAGGACTTGGGGATTTGGGGATTTGGGGATTTGGGTATTTGGAAATTTGGGAATTTGGGAATTTGAGGACTTGGGGATTTGGGGATTTGGGTATTTGGAAATTTGGGAATTTGGGGACTTGGGGACTTGGGGATTAGGGGATTTGGGGATTTTGGGATTAGGGATTTGTGGATTTGGGGATTTGGGGATTTGTTGATTTGGGAATTTGAGGATTTGGGGATTTGGGGATTTGGGGATTTCGGGATTTGGGCATTTGGAGAATTGGGAATTTGGGCTAGAGGATTTGTTGATTTGGGAATTTGAGGATTTGGGGATTTGGGGATTTGGGGATTTGGGGATTTGGGGATTTCGGGATTTGGGCATTTGGAGAATTGGGAATTTGGGGATTTGGGGATTTGGGGATTCAGGAATTTGAGGACTTGGTGATTTGGAATTTGTGGAGTTTTCGAATTTGGAGATTTGGATGTTATGGAGCATGAAGATTTGGGGCATTGGGGATTGAGGAATTTTATGATTTATCGATATGGAGATTTAAGAATTTAATAATTTTCAATATTTAATATCATTATGCTACATTGAAAATTTGGAAATTAAGAAATTTGCCCAATGTATGAAATTCAATTTTACAAAATTTACGAAATTCATAAAACTCATATAGCTTGCAAAAGTTATAAAATTTCTAGACACACACGTAAACGAAACTGACAAAATTTGTAAAGTGTATAAAATTGATTGAATTTACAGTCATACTCATGTGCAAAATTTATAAAATTTCGAGGAGCACATGAATCAACTTGACAAAATTGTCACAGCTTGCAAAATTTATAAAATTTCCCCACATGCACTTATACAATATTCACAATATTCACAAGATTCACAAGATTCACGAGATTCACGAGATTCACAAGATTCACAAGATTCACAAGATTCACAAAATTCACAAAATTCACAAAAACCCACGATTCACAATATTCTCAAGATTCACAAAATTCACAAAATTCACCAAATCTAAAACTAGGAAATCAGAAGACTCACAGATATAAAGAATTCCCAAACGTGAAACAATAACAGTATTGCACCCAGTATCATCAAGGTGTCGATCCTTGTCTATAGTTCTCCGTATTGTCCGTCAAATTTACGCTTCATCAACGACAAGATCCGCTCAGTTACGCTCGCATTACCTGGACACGTTCGAAAATGGCCTAACTCT